GCATGTAAGAAACCAGAGGCAAGAAGGGAAAAGGGAACATGAATATGGTTCTGCTGTCAAGAATTTGAGATTGAAGTAAAAAGAATTAAAGCGAGAGAGAAAGCCGGACACCTAAAGTGAACAGAGACGGGATACTTAGAAAGAAAGAGAGAGAGAGAGTAGAGACGGGGTTTGGTTGAGGAGAGAGAATTAGGTCAACTTTATAAATCTAATCTTAGAGAAGAGAGAGTTGATTGATAGACCAATAATTGTTCGGTATTTTAAACACAAGATAGCAAACTCAACCAAGTTCAAACGTACCCGCAATGCATATCTTGGACAGTTTTTGTAAGTGCGAAAATAAAAATCCTACTGTCCGGTCTTTTGCAATGTCATTGCCAAATAAGAGTATAACTTAGAAGAAAAAAAAAATAGGGTTAATTGGAAATTGACCCAATAGTGTACGAACATAATTTGCTCAAAATCTTAATATACTTTCTATGTCTAAAACTCAAAGTTTGATATAGTTTATCTCTCTAAAAAATTGAGATTGTTTTTCTCTCTAAAATTTTTAAGTGCTTTCTCTTATCTAAAATAATATAGTTTCTCTGTCTAAAATATTAAAATACTTTCTCTCTCTAAAATTTGAAATTTGAGATAGTATCTCTTTTTTTAAAATTTTGAGATAATTTCTTTCTAAAAAATTTCAAGTAGTTTCTTGATCTAAAGTTTGATATAGTTTCCCTCTCTAACATTTTAAAATTTAAAATTTGAGATAGCTTCTCATTCTAACAATTTTGATATAGTTTCACTGTCTAAAAAATTTTAGGTAGTTTGTATCTCTAAAATTTGATGTAGTTTGTCTCTCTAAAATTTTAAGATACTTTCTCCCTCCAAAACATAAAATTTCAGATAATTTCTCTCTAAAAATTCTGAGATAATTTCTCTCTCTAAAAAGTTTTAGATACTCTCTTTATAAAGTTTAATATAGTTACTCTCTCTAAAATTATAAGATGATTTCTCTCTTTAGAACTCAAAATTTGATATAGGTTCTCTTTAAATTTTGATATAATTTCTCTCTCTAAAAATTTTGATATAGTTTCTCTCTTTAAAAATTTTTAGTACTTTTTTAATCAAAAATTTTATATATTTTATATTTATGGATTGAGGAACCCTATTTGTACGGATCGTGGTCCCTATGTTTTTGGAATCAAGATCCCATGAGAAGTGGCAAACGCGTCCCTTGCAAAATGGGATACAAATCTCATGAGCGTTAGCAGCGCAATTGTCTATACATCTAGGGGCCGTTTGAATACCTGGAAATATATTGTCTGTGAAATATATTACTGGTGTAATACATTAAGAGGCTATTTGGGTACGTAAAAATTTATTAGGTGATAATAGATTATAGAGAAATATGACATTTACACTGTTTGTGTACACTTTAATAGTAAGAAAATAGAAAGAGATTATTCGACATTACCTGAGATTTCCCACAAAAATCACGAAATCCATTTCGCGCTCGCTCTGCCCTATCCCTGCTTAAAAAAACATTTCACTATCTCAAGTATACGTTATATTGTATAATTATTAAAGTAAATAGAAAGTGAAAGTAAGGGATATGAAAAGGGGAATCTAAATTGATTTGAACATGTCCAGGACAATTTTCTACTGCAATCATAATAAACAATTTCTACATCCCTCACTCCTCAATTTGATTTGGTTGTAGCCCTCATCTGACTCTCATATAAAAAGAAAATTTTTTAATAATTGGTAAGTAAAAGTAAAGGGAAATCTAAATTGATTTCAACAGTTATAGAACTTGATGAGGGACAATTTTCTAAAATTTCTACATCCCTCTATCCCCAATTTGGGTTGTAGCCTGCCATCAGCTCTCGTATAAAAATAATAATAATAAAAATAATAATTGGTAATCGATGAGAAATTACATAACACGGTCATAATAAAAAATTTCACACATCATAATCCCCATAAGAGATTAGTATAAGCTCAATTGAAATAAGATATCTCTTCCAATGCTTCAAAATTTTCTACTGCAATTACTAAACCTTCTAGTTTACTAATCAAACTTCTTCCCACTTTTTAGTTTGTACCATAAAGATTTTGATTTTGGTATCATAAATTTATTGCTTATTTGAAATAATATATAGAGAGACAATTGAAAGACTTCTATAAAAAATAAATAAAAAAAAGGCTTATCACAATAAATTGAAATTATATATAGAGAGACATTTGAAAGACTTCTATAAAAAATAAATAAAAATAAGGCTTATCATAATAAATCATGTTATTTTGATCATATTATTCCAATGACTTATTATGTTGAAACCAAAGTCTAATCTTGTTAGCCAAACATAGCCATATTTTTCATATTTGAATGGTAATGCATTTTTCATATTTCTTCTATGCATAGCCAAACAGTAGCAATATATTTTCCAAGTTGCATCTAAATACTACCCAAACAGTAAAAATCCATTTGCAGGTAATGTATTTCGCAATAATGTGTTACGCCCGTAATATATTTCATAGACAATATATTTCCAAGTATCCAAACGGCCCCTAATACATTACCTGTAAATGGATTGTTACTGTTTGGGTAGTATTTAGATGCAACCTAAGAAATGCATTGTTATTGTTTGGCTATGTCTGAAAGAAATATAGAAAATGCATTACCAACATTTTACCATCACGTGCCTATAAACTATCATTTCTTTCTTTTTTATCACAAAATTCCACTAAAATGCAGAATTATCATTTCTTTCTTTTTTGTCAAAAAATTCCACTAAAATAATGAATTAAAATCATCATCACACCATTCCAAAAAGATTTCTAATTATAACATTATCACCGTTCCAAAAAGATTTTCTAATACTACCTTGTACCATTTTACATTCATGACACTATTTCCTACTTATTTTAAGTGCATTTGGCAATTACATGCAATCACATGTTTTCTAACATACATTAGTTTCAACATGATAAGTCATTGGAACAATATGATTGGAATAACATGATTTTAATATGATAAGCCTTATTTTTATTTATTTTTTATAGAAGTCTTTCAAATGTCTCTCTATATAATTTCAAATAAACAATAAATTTATGATATTAAATCCAAAATCTGTAGGGTACGAGTTAAAAAATGGGAAGAAGTTTGATTAGTAAACTAGAAGGTTTGGTAATTGCAGTGTAAGATTTTGATATATTAGAGGAGACTAAAGAAGTATGTTATTTCAATTGAGATTTTAGTAATTTCTTATGAGGATTATGTTATGTAAATTTTTTTTTTATGATTGTGTTGTGTAATTTATCATTGATTACTGATTTTTATTTTTATTATTATTTTTTTATATGACACTGATGCCTTCAGAAGAGGGGATGAGCTTAAAAAGGGAGGGATCACATTATGTTGTGTGAAATTTTTTATTATGATTGTGTTGTGTAATTTATCATTGCTTACTAATTTTTATTTTTATATGACAGCTGATGCCTGCAGATAAGGGGACAACCTTAAAAAGGGAGGGATCACCTAGTTATTATGAAGAGAAAGGGGTACAAAGAGAAGATTTTTTTAATCAGGGATAAAGTAGAGAAAAACGGGCGAAATATTTCCCAAAATTACTCATCACTCTCGTAATAGATTTTTCACATATAGCACGCATAATGGATTTCCCGATTTTTGGAGAAATCTCGTTTAATCTCTTTCCATTTTCTTATTATTAGTAAAAATCTCATATTTTCGTATAATATACCCTTCACTTTTGTAATAGATTTTTCACCTATCAGCACGTATAATGGATTTTTTGATTTTTGGGGAAATCTCGTTTAATCTCTTTCCATTTTCTTATTATTAGTGAAAATGACATATTTCTTTGTAATCTATTGTCACGTAATAGATTTCGACGTAACCAAACGGCTCGTAGCTCCACATTTGAGAGGCCATGTACCATATTTCGTTGTAATCTATTGTCACGTAATAAATTTCCATGCAACCAAATGGCCCTTAGCTCAACATTTGAGAGGCCATGTGCCATGAGGTTCATTATCACATGAGTCCAAATTTTTTTCATATTCATGATAGTAGCTGTCAAAATTATCAACATGAATAATTTTAGGCCCAAAACACCATCATTAATAAGAATTTTTGAACGAGACGGAATAAAAGTGTGGTGGGCTAACGCACCAAAGCCCGTCCCATCTTAAGATCCATTACTTTGCAGTAAATTACACATCCTATTAGAAGGTACGGTGCACCTCGAAACTTTGTGGTTTGCATATGCTAGCAACCTTAAACAGTCAAAGTAAGAAGCACCTGCAAACTTTGTCATAAGATGCACTTTTGGAATCGAAAATTTTTAGGATGGTGCAAGAATCTATTTTTATCTCTAATTATAAAAATTTAAAACTCCGAATGGTCATGAAAATCTCAAAAACATACGGTCCAGATAATATCACAAAATGTACAATGTTTAGGACTTGAAATCCTTTTTCTTCTCTATATCTACATATATTGATGTCTAGATGATCAATTCGATGTTTTTCCAACATCAAAAGAACCTTTTTTTTGAATGATTTTAGCCATGTACCTTAATTATACATTTCAAGGTATCACCTATATACAAACTTTTTCAATCTTTATAATGGGGTAACTATGCTTTTAAAGCTTTCTTTGTAATTTCAGCAAATTTTAGTTAACACCATGTTCCACAAAGCCATGATCTCAAGAGTCAAAACTGTATACCTATTTGTACCTTGGTTTTTAAGACAATCCTTCGTTCTTAACAAGAAATCGTGTCCCACGAGGCCTTGACCCTGGACTTTGAAGTTAAAATAAAATAATATAATCAAATGAATAACAACAACAAAAGTCAAATACAAATTTTCACACTCCAAGCAATTGTTTATGTACCTATCAATCTAGGTAATAGAGGGCGAGGATGGGCTATTAATTTGTTTATAAATAGGAACATGGCCACTAAGGTTGCTATTGTACTCTAACAATGGTTACCCTAGCAACATTTGTTATTGTTGCCTTACTTAACCCCTACTCTCTTCTCAAGGCATCACCCTCCATGGCTTCAACTTTGGAGAGTGGCCTTCTCGATTGTTTTGGAAAGAATCGCTTGACAAACTATACCACAATCAATTCACGACCCCAAATTTGTTACAAACTCCTCAATTTCTCATTACAAAACCTTCGATTCACCGAGCCGTCAGTCCCAATGCCCTATGTTATCGTTCTCCCTTCAAGTAATATCCAAGTACAACATGCTGTGGTGTGCTCAAGACAACACGGGTGGCTTATACATGCACGATGTGGGGGCCATAGCTACGAGGGCTTCTCGTCAACTGGGGACTCACCATTTGTCATCATTGATCAGATGAATTTGAACAAGGTGGAGGTTGATGTTGCTGAAGGAACTGCTTGGATAGGGGGTGGAACCACCCTAGCTGAGGCTTACTACCACATAGCAAATGCTAGTAAGGATCGGTATGGTTTCTCAGCAGGAACCTGCCCCACAGTGGGGAGTGGGGGACACATTAGTGGTGGGGGATTTGGGCACATGTCTAGGAAATTTAGGCTTGTTGCTGATAATATATTGGATGCATTGGTGGTAAATGTTGTGGGGCTTCTATTGAATAGGACCACAATGGGGGATGGTATGTTCTGGGCCATCAGAGGTAGTGGCGGTGGAAGTTGGGGAATGGTAGTAGCTTGGAAGCTCAGGTTAGCTGACATAAATAGAAATGTGACTTTCTTTCAAACTAATAGAGCAGGAAAGAAAACAGTTGTGAATTTGGCTCATATGTGGCAAGCAATAGCCCATACTTAGCCTAATGACTTCCATCTCCAAGCTATTTTAGCGGCTAATTCGAGGCGAGTTATTAATGTATCTTTCTTTGGATTGTATCTTGGAGGTGTTGATGATGCTGTTAAAATAATGAGAGATCGGTTTAGGAGCTTAGCCATCAGTAAGTCGATATGTAAGGAGATGGCATGGATTGATTCAATGCTCTTTTTCTCGGGCTTGCCTAGTGGTAGCACCAGAGAAGACTTGCTTAATCGGTACTCGGTGGATAAATTCTTTTCAAGGCAAAATCTGATTATGTTAAGGAACCATCGACTCCTGATTCTCTAGAGGGTGCTATAACATATCTCGAGGAAGAGCCTTCCGGATCAATCATTCTCGACCCATATGGTGGGAAAATGGAAGATATTGGGCCAGATGCCATACCATTTCCCCACCATAAGGGAACATATATAGCATCCAATATATAATAAATTGGCGAACACAAGATGATGATTACAAGTACTTGAATTGGATCAAAAGCTTTTATGAGTATATGGAGCCCTATGTGAGCAAGTCCCCAAGGGAGGCTTATGTCAATTACTTGGACATAGACTTAGGGGCTGCTAGAAATGGAACTGCAAGTGTGGAAACTGCAAGAGAATGGGGTATAATGTATTTCAAGGATAATTTTGATCGTCTTGTTCGAGTGAAGAGCCATATTGACCCTCACAATGTGTTTAGGTACCCACAGAGTATTCCTGTCAACACGAAACAAGTACTATGAAACAAGGAATGTCCTCGAGCCATTTCCCCAATGGGGCTTGCGTTTTTTTCTTAATGATCTGTTATGCTTTCAACTTATCTTTGATGGGTGCTAAAAATCTGTAAAATTAGCAGGCCAGTAAGAATCTCATTCATGTACTAAATTTGCCATCAATCAGAAATGTCATCCCTAGACTCTTGTATCATCTCCTTTTTTTGTTTTTTTCGCTCTTTATCCTTATTCTATATGTTTTTACAATAAAAAAATATAAAGAAAGTGTACAGCATGACATTCTTACCATGTGCATATATTGTGTTTACCAACCTCATGATTCTTTGTATATTATGTTCAAAAAGAAAATTTTAACCCAATGTATAATCACTGGTTTAGGAATTACATAGGTTGGATTTTATGTTGTTTTTCTTACAGCTATATTCTTGTGGAAAAGTTTATAAAGATACTATTTACTTTTGTTTAAAGTTATAGAAACCATATATTGAGTTTTTTATCTTGTATATTACAAAATATTAAAGTTTTCTATATTGAGTTTCCTATTTTGTGGGATTACTATTGTAATGGAATTTATTTTCTAAAATGCAAAAATTGTAACTCTATATATCTCTGATAAGCTAGAGTAATCTATATAATTGAGATACTGGTTGACTCTCCGTAGATGTAGGTACCATTTTCGAAAGACGCATATGATGTGTTGGTTTATTTCTTTTCTCTTCTCAATTTCTATTATTGCAACTTCAACATGGTATTAGAGCAGAAATCTTGAGACCGGTGTTAAAAATCTCTTCAGTCAATTCTTTCTTGCTTTTGTGCGGTGAACGTGGATCTTTCTCGCTCTCTCTATGATCATTACCTTCCGTGCCTATTATTTTCAAGGACAAAAGAAATTTCACGAAGATATATTTCAGGGTTTGCAATGGACCTTAAGATTGTCGCTAGAAGAGGTTTGCAAACAACTAATTCCGTGAATTTAAAGTAAAGTCCATTATAAATCTCAACACCACAAGTTTGAAGGTGTATGGCGTGCTAGGTCCATTTATATCTAAAAACTATTTTATCTTTCAAATAGAGGGGAGAATATTTTCGATTTACATCCTCAAGAAAAATCCAATATAGACCTAATTTTAGGATTTGGAATTTTGGTGATGTGAATTATGCTCTCTACGTACTTCAAAAAAAAAAAATGCCTCCAGATTGAGTATAGACTTCTCAACTTTTAAAAAGTTGACATTAACAAACTCAAAATTCAATTTTTATCCTTTAAAAATAATAATTTAATTCTTTACTTGGAGTTTTGATGATTATCCTCATCACTTGTCTATTCACATATACAATGCGTGTGAGACCATTCATTTAGGATGTCTAGTTACGCGTTTTGGTCTTAAAACTTATCTCATCACGGTTTGGACGAAGTGTTTAAAAAACGCATGAATTTTAAGGGGCTCAGGCTTTGTGAAAACAAAATAAAGTCTCATCTCAAATCCTCGTCTAGAAAGTATTTTGGGCATTGAAAATCTTCATGATGCTTTAAAATCAATTTTCAATACTGAAAATAAAATTTGAAACTCAAAAAATAGGAGAGATCTTATAGATCTTTAAACACTTATTTTTAGAGCGAAATGGACACACTATTTTTAGAATTTGAAATCCTAATTTTTTTCTTTAGTCCTTTGATGATTATCCTCATCACTTGTCTATTCACATATACAAGGCATGTGAGACCATTCATTTAAGATGACTATTTACGGGTTTTGGTCTTAAACTTATCTCATCACAGTTTGGACGAAGTGTTTAGAAAACGAATGAATTTCCTAAGGGGCTCAGGCTTTGTGAAAGCAAAATAAAATCTTATCTCAAATCCTTGTTTAGAAAGTACTATGGGCATTGAAAATCTTCATGATGGCTCTAAAATCAATTTTCAATACTGAAAATAAAATGTGAAACTCAAAAAATAGTAGAGATCTTGTGGAACTTTAAACACTTATTTTTAGGGCGAAATGGACATTTTGGATGATTTATTGCCAAATGCACTATTTTTAGAATTTGAAATCCTAAATTTTTTGCATAACCATAATGTTCAAGATGAGATGATCAATTTCAAGATTTTCCAACGCTTGAATTACAATTTTTATGAAGTGACGCTTTACTTATTTTGATAGGGCAGCAGCCCTATCAAATCATTTTCCTTTAACAAAATATGTTTGGGAATTTGTATTTTTTTTTTTTGGTAATTTGTGGGGAAGACAGGCTCCAACCGGTTTTTTCAAGCAGATTAGGAATTACTTTTTGAAAGTATTAATGGGATGGTGTTAGCGATGAGAATGGAAACCACAATGTGGTGGCTAGATTGTAAAGTGCTCCACCACGACCCCTGCCCCTTTCCATGTTTGGACTTTGTATTGAAGTTTGAATAAGGTAATGCCTAAAAATATTAGACTCCCTTGGGAGTATACCGTCAATTTACTCCTCCTTAAAACCCCACCTAAGATTAATTTTCTCGTTAGAACCCTACGTAAGATTAATTTTAGGAGTTCAACCTTAGGGATATAACCTCTTCAACACATAGATTAACCTCCATAAAAAAAAAGTCCCCAATTTCACCCTCTACACACTTGAAAATAAATAATGTATCAAGATTGAATAGAGACCATCCAATTTTTAGATGATGAAATCTAAGTGTTGTAAAATTCAAATGTTTTAATTTTTTTCTTTTAAAAATTATCATGTAGTAATTCTTAGGAAGTTAACAAAATTTAAAATTAAAAAAAGGAAAATTGTTTTATATTGCGGGGACCGCATTTTTACATTTGTATCCCTGAGGTATAAAGCATCCATCTTAAAGATGGATGCAAATTGGTGGTCTATTTAAAAATAATTGAAACTAACAATTCAAATTATTAATAAAATTATTATTTTTTATTTTAAAATTTATTTATTTATTCATATTCATGATCTCCATGTTAGGGATTACATATTCTTAAAAATTAAATAAAAAAAGCCATCTCAAAAATAAATTTTTAAGAGGCGACTCATTTCTACAAAACCGTGTCCTTCGGAAAACCTCCCAAAAGTAGTAAATGTAAGGTACACTCCTGAGGGAGTGTAGTATACGTGCCCTAAAGTAATAATAAAACTTGTTCAATGCGTGTCCTATTGCATGACATTCTCTACTATTTTGGCTGAGCCGGATCAAATTTGAACAATCCTATCTAGTCACCTCTAAAATATAGTCTAAAATTTAGTTGGGCGTTTGGTGAAATTTATCTAATACTTGCTCACAGCTATTTAATATGGAGCCTCCATAATTGAACTTAGATGTGGACATATTCTGGCCGAGATCAAGTTGAATTTAAAGGAAAATGTTAAAACGAGGTTCTATCAAATTCATTTCCCATCCAAAAATCTATCTTAGAAATAAATTTACGATCTAAAATTATCCTAAGTCACTCTAGATTGATTTTTGTTGCTTATCCACTATCAAAAAATAATGCAGATAAGGTGATCTTTGAAGAATTAGAATGAAAGGTGGTCAACAATCTAAGAAACAAAGTCTACAATGTAAAAAAAAAAACGGATTGTTGATCCAGATCGACCATCCCAAAAACTGTGTCAGATCGATGTCAGCGATCTGAATCCCAAAATCGATCAGATCGGCCATTTTAGGCTTAAAAAAAATGCAAAAAATCACTAAAATGTGAAATTATTGATTTATATTTTATAATTACTTTACTATACAAATTAGAATAAATTTAATTTTTGTCTTAAAATACCATCTAATTTTAAAAAATATTGTTTACTACTATAACAAAAATAATATATTATATACTTAATAATACAAATAAATTAATAAATAAAATACAAGATTTGATTACCTATGTATAATTTACATCCGAATATATTGAAAGATCCAGATCGTTGTCGATTTTTAATTCAAATCGTACAATTTCGATCCCTATAGCTGAATTGTTTTCTCTAACGTTCAAAAGTCAAACTTCTTATTCGATGGCAATGGTCAAAATTATCAACATGTGACATTTTGGATCCAAAATCCATCCATACAATGGACATTTAAAGAAGATTGAATAGGTGCGTCGGTTAATACACCACAACACTATCCAATTTTAAGATAAGACTTAGTTGTTATTTCTGCATCTTTATTAGAAATGTCAAATATTAATAAGGAATTGTATACTATGAATCCATTTATTTTTGGTATAAGGAGGTCACGATCACTTTTAGTCACTAGAAGTGAAATCGAATAGAAGAGAGTGTCACAATTTGGTAAAATTTTATTTTGGACTTTATACCTAAACAATGAGACATTTTCAACCACGTGATTTCCAATCTAACGGCCAACAATAATTATGATTGCATTATATAAAAAATAAATAATCACATTGTATACATTTCCTATTATAAATAACGGTCCCTTCTAGTTTGAGCAAAATTTTAATCAGCACCATCCTCCACACGGCCATCATCTAAAGTTAAAAAAACTGTTCACCTATTTGTTCCTTGGTTATTAAGAAAAGATTATATTCTTATTAACAACATCGTGTCTCAAGAGGCCTTAACCCAGTACTTTTGAGATTGAAAAACCATATAATCAAATGGATAAGTGCAAAAGTCAATAATAAAGATTTTAATCCTAGAAGCCTTTGTATTCGTGCCTAACATCCTGCATAATGGACGGTGAGCATGGACTACAAATTTGATTATAAATAGGAAGCATGGCAACAATCGTAGCTCATTGTCCTCTAACAATGGCTACCCTAGCAACATTTGTTATTCTGGCATTATTTAATCCCTTACTCTACTCTCTTCTCAATGCATCACCCTCCATGTCTTCAAATTGGAGAGTGGCCTTCTCGATTGTTTCAAAGACAATGGCTTGACAAAGTATGCCATATTCACTTCATCACCCCAAATTTACTACAAACAGCTCAATTTCTCCCTACAAAACCTTCGATCCACCGAGCCGTCGGTCCCAATGCCCTATGTTAATGTTCTCCCTTCAAGTAATATCCAAGTACAACATGCAGTGGTGTGCTCGAGACGATATGGGTGGCTTATACGTGCACGACGTATGAGGTCTTCTCGTCTATCGGGGACTCACCATTTGTCATCATTGATCAGATGAATTTGAAAAAGGTGGAGGTTGATGTTACCAAAGGAACTGCTTGGAGAGGGGGTGGAACCACCATTGGTGAGGCTTACTATCACATAGCAAATGCTAGTAAGGATCGTTATGGTTTCCCAGCAGGAACCTGCCCTACAGTGGGAAGTGGGGGGTACATTAATGGAGGGGGATTTGGGCACATGTCTCGGAAATTTGGGCATTCTGCTGATAATTTATTGGATGCGTTGGCGGTAAATGCTGAGGGGCTTCTATTGAAAAGGACCGCAATGGGGGATGCTATGTTTTGGGCCATAAGAGGTGGTGGTGGTGGAAGTTGGGGAATTGTAGTAGCTTGGAAGCTCAAGTTAGCTGATATAAATAGAAACGTGACCATCTTTAGAATTGGTAGAGCCGAAAAGAAAACAGTTGTGAATTTCGTTCGGAAGTGGCAAGCAATAGCCTACAATTTTCCTAATGGGTTTCATCTCCGAGCTATTTTGGCGGCTAATTCGAGTCGCATTATTATTGTTTCTTTCTCCAAGTAGATATGTAAAGATACGGTGTGGATTGATTCAGTGCTCTTTTTCTCAGGCTTGCCTAGTGGTAGCACTAGATAGAACTTGTGTAATCGGTATTTCGTGTATAAATCATTTTTCAAGGCAAAATCTGAGAATTTTAAGGAACTATTGACTGCAAGTTCTCTAGAGGGTGCTATAAAGTATCTCCAGGAAGGGCCTTCCGGTTCTATCATTCTTGACCCCTATGGTGGGAAAATGGATGATTTCGGGCCAGATGCTATACCCTTTCCGTAGCATACGGAACATATATAGAATTCAATATATAATATATTGGCAAAGAGGAGAAGAAGATTACAAGTACTTGAATTGGATCAAACACTTCTATGAGTATACGGAGCCCTATGTGAGCAAGTCCCCAAGAGAGGCTTATGTCAATTACTTAGGCATAGACTTAGGAGCTGCTAAAAATGGAACTGCAAGTGAGGAAACGGCAAGAGAATGGGGTACAAAGGATTTCCAAAACAATTTTGATCGTCTGGTTGGGGTGAAGAGCCAGGTTGACCCTCACAATGTGTTTATTAATCCACAGAGTATTCCTGTTGACCCGAAACAAGTACATTGAATTTAAGGGATCCCGTCGGGGCATTTCGCCTTTGGAGCTTGGGTTCGGTTCTAAATGATTTGTTGTGGTTTCAACTGAATTATGATGGCCTTTAACGCTGTGTGTAATAAGCAGGCAATTAATAAGCAGGCAGTTAAGAATCTCATCCATGTAATAAATCTGCCATCAATAAGAAATGTCTACCCTAGACTCTTGTATTGTCTCATTATGCTACTCTTTATTATTATAGGGCAGGCAACAGGCGGGGCACGGCCAGGGCCTGGCCAGTCTACCCTAGACTCTTTGTATTATTTCATGCCTAGCCAAACCGTCTAGGCCGGATCAAACCAAAGAGGATCATGCCTAGCCAATCCGTCTGGGCCTGCCTTGGCCTAGCCTTAAGGCCATATCTTGTGGTCAGGCCCCATGATGCAGATAAAAATTTGCATGCTGCAAATTTTTAATTTTATTTTTGTTAACTTTATTTTTAGAGGTTGGGTAGACTTTTTTATTAGAGTACTTTTTTAAAAATAGAATTAGTATGAGTTTTTAGTTTAATTTAATAAGTCTGTTTTTTTTTCTTGTCTTGCGTGAGTTGGTTTTAGGTATATTTATCTTAAGTTATGTTCATCTTTTATTTGGAAGAAATATTTAGAAAGAGTTTCATCTAAAAGCGATGGACGTGAGATTGAAAG